GCTGATAAGAAACTTCAGCAAAGTCTCAGGATACAAAATCAATGTGCAAACATCACAAGCATTCTTATACACCAGTAACAGACAAACAGAGAGCCAAATCATGAATGAACTCCCATTCACATTGCTTCAAAGAGAATAAAACACCTAGGAATCCAACTTACAAGGGATGTAAAGGACCTCTTCAAGGAGAACTACAGACCACTGCTCAGTGAAATAAAAGAGGACACAAACAAATGGAAGAACATACCATGCTCATGGATAGGAAGAATCAATATCGTGAAAATGGCCATACTGCCCAAGGAAATTTATAGATTCAATGCTATCCCCATTAAGCTACCAATGAGTTTCTTCACAGAATTGGGAAAAACTGCTTTAAAGTTCATATGGAACCAAAAAAGACCTCACGTTGCCAAGACAATCCTAAGTCAAAAGAACAAAGCTGGAGGCATCACTCCACCTGACTTCAAACTATATTACAAGGCTACAGTAACCAAAACAGCATGGTACTGGTACCAAAACAGAGATATAGACCAATGGAACAGAACAGAGCTCTCAGAAATAATACCACACATCTACAGCCATCTTATCTTTGACAAACCTGACAAAAACAAGAAATGGGGAAAGGATTCCCTATTTAATAAATGGTGCTGTGAAAATTGACTAGCCATAAGTAGAAAGCTGAAACTGGATCCTTTCCTTACTCCCTATATGAAAATTAATTCAAGATGAATTAGAGACTTAAATGTTAGACCTAAAACCATAAAAACCCTAGAAGAAAACCTAGGTAATACCATTCAGGACATAGGCATGGGCAAGGACTTCATGTCTAAAACATCAAAAGCAATGGCAACAAAAGCCAAAATTGACAAATGGGATCTAATTAAACTAAAGAGCTTCTGCACAGCAAAAGAAACTATCATCAGAGTGAACAGGCAACCTACAGAATGGGAGAAAAGTTTTGCAATCTACTCATCTGACAAAGGGCTAATATCCAGAACCTATAAAGAACTCAGATTTACAAGAAAAAAACAACCCCATCAAAAAGTGGGCAAAGGATATGAACAGACACTTCTCAAAAGAAGAGAGCAGACACATGAAAAAATGCTCATCATCACTGGCCATCAGAGAAATGCAAATCAAAACCACAATGAGATACCATCTCACACCAGTTAGAATGGCAATCATTAAAAAATCAGGTAACAACAGGTGCTGGAGAGGATGTGGAGAAATAGGAAGACTTTTACACTGTTGGTGGGACTGTAAACTAGTTCAACTATTGTGGAAAACAGTGTGGCGATTCCTCAAGGATCTAGAACTAGAAATACCATTTGACCCAGCCATCCCACTACTGGGGATATACCCAAAGGATTATAAGTCATGCTGCTGTAAAGACACATGCACACGTATGTTTACTGCGGCACTATTCACAATAGCAAAGACTTGGAATCAACCCAAATGTCCATCAGTGACAGACTGGATTAAGAAAATGTGGCACATATACACCATGGAATACTGTGCAGCCATACAAAAGGATGAGTTCGTGTCTTTTGTAGGGACATGGATGCAGCTGGAAACCATCATTCTCAGCAAACTATCGCGAGAACAGAAAACTAAACACCACATGTTCTCACTCATAGGTGGGAATTGAACAATGAGATCACTTGGACATAGGAAGGGAATCATCACACACCGGGTCCTATTGTGGGGGGTGGGGGAGAGGGATAGCATTAGGAGATATACGTAATGTAAATGATGAGTTAATGGGTGCAGCACACCAACATGTATACATATGTAACAAACCTGCACGTTGTGCACATGTACCCTAGAACTTAAAGTATAATAAAAAATAATAAAATGCATCATTTTACATTTAAGCCACATATAATACAAATGAAACATGCAGTTAATGTTGAACTGGAACAAAACATATGCACACTTGATCTTTTAAAGGAAAGAGCAGCTAATGCTGCTCCAACTCAGGCCTACACTCCGAGCTTTAGGGCAGAGGCTGCAGCACACCCAAAAACACCTTTGCATGCTGGGCTGGGGGACATTGTACAGAAGGCCCAGGGACGGTACACCAGAGTGGCACCTTAGGACCTGGAGGAAGAAAACTATTAACGTCCCCATCATACCTAGTGGGGTACTTCATAGGGAACAAAGTGGGATGCAGACAAGAGTAATTGGGGTTTATCATAGGCCTTAGAAATATTTAAGAATTGGTTAAATCATTTTAGATCTCAGCTGAATAAACTTCTGTTCAGATGGAGAATATTTTTTCAAGAGTACTAAAGTGTAGCCTGGGTGTGTCTTCTCTCCCCAAATCATTATACTTCTCAAAATATGCCCTTAACAAAAGCTGGTCTGCTTCTGTGTGGGAGGGGCCTGCCAAGGGCATGACCTGTGTTCAGGCTGCTCGTCTGTTTCCAGTTTTGTTACAATGGTAGAACAGACTTCATGATTCACAGCCACCTATAAGTGATGGATTAGTCCATTCTACAGGTGAAGAATCATACGTCACTCAGCCCAAAGAGGGCAGAGCCTGGATTCAAACTCTAAAGTCAGAGCTCGTAACTATTAACAGAATCACCTCTTAATTTGGTGAGTCTCTGCTGTGGTCCACCATATTTCTGGTTTGTGTTCTAGCCTCCTGCCCTTGCAGTAGACTATGGGGTCTTTTCTGCTGCTTGATTTCTACCCTTTCATTGCTGGTTCAGGACCTTCCATATTCTGGAGGACCAAGAGTCTGCACTGGCTGCTGGTCATTTCTTAAAGCCTCTCTCCAGCTTCACTTCATCTTCCCAGCACCAATCACATTTCCTTGCTACAACTCATTGCCTCTTGGGTTCCCACCACTCAGATCTGTAGAGGGGGCCATGGGGTTAGAAAGACTTCCTTGTGAATCACCCCTCTTCAGACAGCATCTGAATGGATTCCCTCTACTCCACCCCGGCTACAAAGTCCCTTGAGGCCATCTGAGAAGAACAATGTGATGGGGTGGGGTCACTGAGATCCCAAATGCCCTGGTAGTGACATGCCAAGCTGGACACCATCACAGGATGAAGACCACTATCAAAGTTGTGATGTGTGGGTTGACACACTGTCCCCAGTCTTCCTTCAAGCCTCATACTGCCATAAAGTCAGTCATGTTTTCTTTATGGGGAAGTTGCTGTAAATGACTTAGAAGCTTTGGTGGGATAAACCCAGAGAATTTCAGTCAAGGTAGGTAAAGAAACAGAACTCAGAGTCAAGATTAATTAATAAGTGTAGAATTGATATTCCCAGGTATCTAAAAAATGGGAACTTTGTAATCAAGCATTCTTGATTACATAGGTTGAATTTTTCAGAGAAAACATTTTTCCCCTCCACATAGGATAAAGCCCTCTTCCTCCTCTTGCAGTATCTTGCAGGTGAAATAAAGGCCTTTAAAATGTATCTATATATAAATACATATATAAATATATATATATATATTTTCTTCTTTTTTTTTTGAGACAGAGTCTCTTTTGCCAGGCTGGACGATCTCAGCTCACTGCAACCTCCACCTCCCAGGTTCAAGCGCTTCTCTTGCCTCAGCCTTCCGAGTAGCTGGGACTACAGGCATGCCACCACACCCAGCTAATTTTTGTATTTTTAGTGGAGACGGGGTTTCACCATGTTGACCAGGATGGTCTCACTCTCTTGACCTCATGATCCACCCACCTCAGCCTCCCATAGTGCTGGGATTATAGCCATGAGCCACTGCACCTGGCCTAAAGATTTGTTACCAAGAAAGTTTTAAAGTTTTGCTGAGTAAAATCTGGGGGGCCTAGGCTGCTTTTGTCATTTCAGGCCTCTGGCTTTTTTGGGAGGAGCTGTTGTCTTGTGACTGGCAGCCAGGGTGAGGCACCCACTGTAGGCACAGGGCTGATACCTGAGGGTCAGCAAGCAACTCCTTTTGTGCCTCACCCTAGTCCTAGCTCTGGTGGGACTAGGCATGAAAAATAACTCAAGTGATGCATTCTGGTTATATAGTGAGCAGTAATGCTGTGAAGAACAGGAAAATAGGTGTTTAAAATTACAAGGTAGTAGGGTCAGCAGAATGGAAGTAAAGCTTATTAGTGTCTACTTTCTTAAAAGTACACAGACAGAAAGTCCTTACAAAGTTTGCAATTTGTAACAAATCAGGTAAAGACCTGGTCTCCCTCTTGGCCCTTTCTCTTGCATTTAATCAGGCTGACATCAGGTGGTTCTGTGTGAATTTTGCTTATACCAGGAGTTGGCAAACGCTTTCTGCAGAAAGACAGTAAATATTTTAGGTTTTGCAGACCATAGCAAAGCAGTCGTAGGCATCCAAAAATGGCTGCAGCTGTGTTCCAATAAAACTTTACTTGTAAACCTACATTTGGCTTGAGGGCCTTAGTATGCCAACATCTGCCTTAGACCAAAAGAGAAATGCTCAGTGCACCAAAAGCCCTGTGGGAATACATAGTAACAAGTTGGCCACGAATGGTGGAGGCCGAGGTGGGAGGATCACTTGAGCTTAGGAGTTTTGAGACCAGCCTAGGCAACATAGCAAGACCTCATCTCTACTTAAACGAAAACTTAGCCAGGTGTGGTGGTGGGTGCCTGTAATCCCAGCTACTTGGGAGGCTGAGGCAGGAGGATAGCTTGAACCCAGGAGTTCAAGTGCAGTGAGCTACAGTTGCACCACTGCACTCCTGCCTGGGCAACAGACTGAGACTCGGTCTTAAGAAGAAGAAAAGTAACAATTTGCTTTTCTAGAAGAGAAATTTTTAGTGGATTCACATTCCAACATGTAAAAAAGTGGCTGAAAATATTTCTAATAATGTGTTATTTCTTGATCAGGTCACATTAGTTGCATGGAACAGTCCCAACACTTTCTGTTGCAGAATAGATGCCCTTGCCCAAAGCAAGCAAATCAAGTAACAATTACATCAGATCTGGACAGCTGTAGTACCATGGGGATTTTCTAACCTGTTTTCTCTTTTGTTCTGCAGGTCTATTCCTTATCCTTGGTTTGATACTCTACCCTGCTGGCTGGGGTTGCCAGAAGGCCATAGACTACTGTGGACATTATGCATCTGCCTACAAACCTGGAGACTGCTCCTTGGGCTGGGCCTTTTATACCGCCATCGGGGGCACAGTCCTCACTTTCATCTGTGCTGTCTTCTCCGCACAAGCAGAAATTGCAACCTCCAGTGACAAAGTACAGGAAGAAATTGAAGAGGGGAAAAACCTGATCTGCCTCCTTTAGTTTGGAAAAGACATTAATGCTATTTTCTCCCTTGAGTAATCTTGTGAAACAGTTCACAGTTTCATCATTTGAGTCAAGTGGAGAACCAACCTTTACCTACCAAAGCCACGTTCCACAGCCCGAGGCTTAAACAGGACCAGTGAGAGGCCACATCCAGCTACGCAAAGTTACTGGACATGCGGTCTGCAGTGGACATGATAAGGAATGGAACATGAAAATAGTATATAATCCCTGACCTGGAGTTACCAAGTTCTGTCAGACTCCATCTCCCCCAGGTTCAATGAAGGATAATAATCTAAATCATTAGGGCAGCAGTTTCTCTGGTAACGGAAGAGACCATCCGCCAGATTTGCAGGCTGCTTCTGCTCCAACGCTGCTTGTTTGTGAGCATCTCTGCCTCAGAATGGGGTTTTGGGTTGGAGTTTTTGTTTTCCTCTGTTCTTTCAAGGCATCTCAGTTGGAGACGAACAAAAACCTATAAATCTTACTGGGGACAGGATGTGTTTGCTAAAGGGCACAGCAAGATACTGTCTTTTGCTTAGCTGACCAAAGGGGTCAGCAGGGGTGGTGTGGAGTCATGCTGTGGAACTTATTCTAGGCTGAATCCTAGGGTAAGGTGGATCAACTGAACTGTCACTCCAGAGATTTTAGAAATTTGAGTAAAGAAACAATAAGGACCTATACAATCATATGAGAACAAAAATAAATATGAAATCTTGCTAGTGAAGACATATTTTTTCCTCTTCCCAGCAGCCAGGCTAGCACCAGTTCTGGCCCAGTGTCCTCTTCTGGAGAGCACATGTTTTTCTCCTAAGGTTAGGATTGTGCTTTGACTGCCAAAAGGAAACCTCACTCTGTTTCCTCCTTCCAGGGACTGAGGTCTCCAAGCCAGCTGCGGCTCATTCAGATGTTCACTGGGAGGACTTGCCAGAATCTCAGCACTTGGGGGGAGCCCTTTCCTCCCTGTTTGGTGACCGTGCTGTAGTCAGCTCTATTTCCAATCCCGACAGTAGCAGAATGGCATTCTACAACAAAAAGAAGCTAGTTGTGGGAGTTAAGTTTTTGTAGTTACTGGTGTTGATCCTGAAAGCACACTGAGATAACATTAAATTGCTGCACCTGAAGAACTGCAGCTGAGACTTTAATTAATTCCAGGAAAGTACAGAGGACAAAGTTAATTCAAAAAGAGGAGCTAGATCAAGGTCACAGCACTGCCTACACCTGTTTACAAAAAGAATCAAATACCACTATGAATAAGGATTCAGGGGCTTTTAAACTACTTTCCTAATTACCAATATCACTGATTCAGGAAGACAGTATCTCAGAATGACCAGAGCATCGCAGAAACAAGCTACTCTGACATTATGGGAGCTTCAAAATTGTATCATGATACAGAAATACTCCTTAGCACTTTAAGAGATTTCTGGAAGGGGAAAAAGTGTAGGTCTTTGGGTTCATTAATCTGCTCGCTTGAGGACTTTGTTTTGAAAAAGTACCTTCTGTGGACAAGGTATTGTGTGTTAAGTGCTACCAGCTATACAACCCTGGTTCAGATTTTGCAACCTTGCCCCAAGTGAATCATGTTAAAGCTGTCTGAGTCTAAAGCACCATATCGTGGTGCAGAACAGATCATTATACAGAGATGGAATGGGACAACTAAAGTTTTACTGTATTCTGGTTTTGGGCCTATATGAGAAACCATCTTATCTCACAGATAAGGGCTAAGGGCAAAAGGGGTGGGAGGTGTTTGTTAGGCCTTAATGAGTTTCCCATTCCTGAACCAAAATTCAAAGTGAGCGAGATATAAATCCTGTGATTTTGGTGAAGAAAAAAAACGGGTATCTTCATAGCAGCCTAGGAACCATTAACCATATCTCTAACACCACCCAGAAAGAGGCTGGAGGAGCCACTGGACAAAGCTCCTGTCTCTGTGTGTACATTTATAATGTTCTAACCAAGTCTCAAACCTTGGCAATAATTTTCATTAAAAGCAATCCCATTCATCAGACAAATCTTCATGGAAAACACAAAATTTTTCCATAAATTTATCAGAAGACTCACTTTTTTTTTTTTTCTTTCTGGGACAGAGAAACCATTTTCTGACAGTAGGTTTACAGTCTCAGTGTCCTTACAAGTTAAGTCCTAAGCTCAGAGGATCCTCTGAGCATGTCCATCACCTGCTCTTTGGCTAAGGCGGCAGTGTACCTCTAGATCAACCTGGAAACAGTCACAAGGGAGTGTGACTTCTTGGCCATAATAAAGTCACTTGACAGTGTTTATGTTATTAATTTGAACACACAGAAGACAAAAGCACAGGTATGCACACACACACAACCCCAAACCACTAAAAACTACCTAAACACTGAGTAAATAGTAAAAAGGTAATGTTGGGACTTTTAAACCTTGAATTCATTAGCCAGGCTTGGGGTGAAAGGACCATCTAATATCATGCTAGTCTAAACCATACTCTTCCACACAGCTGTTTAAAAACCACTGGGTATGAGGAATATGCTAGAAAGAAATGTTAAAAATAGATTGTTGGCCCACACTTATTTTTCTAATAAATAGGACCATTATTACTACCAGGATAGTCTTATTTATTTTGCCTGAATTTGTGCTTAAAGAAAGTCTCATGACAGGATGGGATGGGCTGCGCTTCTCAGAGAACTCTGAGGCAGAAATATTTGCCTTGGATTCTGTGGATTTTTTAAACCTGTGTGCTGATAATTCAAACTATGTTGCATTAATTGTGTTAGGGTTTTTTATAGGTTTCAAACATCTGTGGTGTAATGATCCTTGTTAAACATATATTCTGTAAAGTGCCATAGTCTTTTTTTATGTGTAGCATATTTAAAAATATATATGTATATTATACATACACAAGTTCGTGTGAAAGATGTGCAATAACAAAGGTGTATGTATGTTTTGTTGTTTTGGAAACTGGACAGGAGTCAAAACAGGAATGTTTCTGTTTTGGCAAAGGAGAGTTCCACATTTTTGCCTTCATGGCTTATTCAGTAACCTATAATTTTAATGCTACACAAATCTTATGTGAAGAAAAGACTGGTATGAAATCATTTTCTCCTGGGTCTAAAATAATCACTAGCATATGTCAAGGTTAAGCCAGCAAGCCAGGCCCAGTTAATGCTAGTCTTTCATGTGAAATGTGAAGCTGCCATGTTGCCTTTTCTCTTAGTAAGATAACTAGTAGCTGGTACATAATCACTGAGGAGCTATTTCTTAACATGCTTTTATAGACCATGCTAATGCTAGACCACTATTTAAGGGCTAATCTCACACCTCCTTAGCTGTAAGAGTCTGGCTTAGAACAGACCTCTCTGTGCAATAACTTGTGGCCACTGGAAATCCCTGGCCGGCATTTGTATTGGGGTTGCAATGACTCCCAAGGGCCAAAAGAGTTAAAGGCACGACTGGGATTTCTTCCGAGACTGTGGTGAAACTCCTTCCAAGGCTGAGGGGGTCATTAGGTGCTTTGGAGGAACTCAGCACCATTTGATATTCAACAGCCACTTGAGCCAAATATAAAATTGTATTTACAGCTGATGGACTCAATTTGAGCCTTCAAACTTGTAGTTATCCTATTATATTGTAAACTAATACATTGTTTGTCTAGCATTGATTCGGTTCCTGTGCATATGTATTTTCACAATGTGCTCCCCTCCCCAGATCTTAATTAAACCAGATTTTGCAAATTCATTCTTATGCTTTCAAGTCTGAGTATACTGGCTTCAATATGATGTGTATAATCTGATCAAGAAAATACCTATAAATCAGTCAATATTTATTTTAACTAGCTTACATGTAATATTGATGAATGGAAAAAAGATATTCAGGTATTTTAAACTATTCCATTCACTAGTAACATATATGTCCCTATCTGTGTTATCTTTAATGTCAAGTACGTATTTCTTCCTTGAAGAAGCATCAACACAATTATTAATAGGAAAAAACATCTCAAGTATTATAAAGTAAAGCTATGAAATATGAAAATGCTCCATTAAAAAGGAATTTTCAAACATAAATATGTAACAATGACAACGGGGAAAAGTTAACTGAAAGACACATCCTCCTCTTCCAACAACAACCCTAAAAATAAAAGCCAATGATATGGTGTCATTCCACATCCATGTTTCCTGAAGGTAATCCTGGCCATAAAAAGCCTCATCCAGAATAGGTGGAATTCTAATTTATAAACTCAAGAATGACACTAAATACCCTTCTCAACTCTTTCAACTCCCTGTATCCCATGAAGCATTTATTATTTCATACAAAAAAAAAAAAAAAAAAAAAAAGGCAATTTCTTCCCCTGATCTAGGGCCTATGACAGTTGAAATTACATTTATGTTCTGGTTTCTAATAAAAATAAAAGCTGACAAAGTTACCCACATCAGTTTTAAAAAACCACACATGGTTTTCCAAATAATCATGATTTGAATAACCCAAGAAAAATTAGAACATTTCCATTGCTTTTTCAGCTGTTACTATACTCTCCAAAATTTAATCCACAAAGAATGGCAGAAGCTGGGGAACCCTCCCATGTGCTTCCCCCACTTCCCATCCTTAGTTGTTATCTAGCAATTCTGCTACTAGGTCCACTTTCCACACTGATCTTCCTGGAACATTCTGCATTCAAATTACACCTACACCCCCTTAAAGTTTTTGCTTAACCAAACAACCACTTAGAATGGTCCTTACTAACATGGACATTTTATGTGGATATTATTTCAGTAGTTTCAAACAATCTTTTTCAACCCTCACACAATGAAGGGTAAGGCATCAAAGCAAACTTTACTCTTCAAAGCAGTAAGAACCAATAACTTTATTTCAGAGGCCCTCACTAGCAGCTGAGTCATTTGGCAGAGCCATCCCCCTGCTGCTCCTACTACTATCTTCTTCCTTGTTCAACTTCCTCTCCTTACCCTGAACAGCTGTGCAAGATAAGTCTTGCAGACATAAACTGCCAATTTTACTAAGGTACACAGGACACAGATAAAGGCATACAAAAAGAGGAAGTAGTGAAACCAAAACCACATGGGAAAGAAAAGTCAATCAAGTAACACATTGCTATTAGCAGCTTTTTAGCTTTTTATAGCCAAACATCCTGAAAAATTAAACACCTACAGGTAGGCAGTCCAGAAAGTGCCTATGTTTAAGAGAAACCACTATGATTTTATTCACAAGAGACGAAAGCCTGAATTAAGGCAGTGATGATAAAAGACAGTCAATGGGATGAATTCTATGTTAGGGGAAAAGAATGGACAGGTGGACTGATCAGAAGTGGAGGGGAAGGAAAGAGTCTAGGATGACAGCCAGGTATTTAGTGTAGAAACTGGGTGGAAAGTGATATGATCAACAAGAAGAGGACTCCAGAAAAAGCAGGGACAGTGAAGGTGAGGAGGTTCAGCTTAGGCTGCCAATGTAGAAGTCCTGTGTGCAGCTAGGACTATACTAGGGAGAGAGATTGATTTGGGAGTCATCAATACACCTGAGAGATGGTAAGTGTCCTTAGTTATTGTGCAATTTCTATGGGCAGATACTACACTAAGCACTTCATAAAATTCATTTATTCATCAAAACCCTATGAGATAGAAACTACTATCATTTTACAGATAACTGTCACTTAAATAACTGAGGTTAAATAATGTGTCCCAGGTTAGAAAGCTAGTAAGTGGCAAAGTCAAAGCTCAGATATATGTTTGACAACAAAGGCAATGCCCTCAAACTGTTACGTTGTTTCCTTCTACCTGGAATGCACAGGGTGGGAAGGCGGCCAATGCAAACTCCTGGGCAACACCAATATCTCTGCATTGCAGACACTTAGAATAACTTCCAAATAAAACTCCAAAAGGGCCTCACCATCACAACTGATGAAAACACTGCTTCTTCCTCCCTTTCAGAGAAAACACCTAGTGATTTTTCATAATTTTGAAGATGACATATGTCTCAATTTATCAATCAGGATTTAGCTCAATCCTGAAAACAGACACAAGAAATTCAGTATATGACAGTAGGAAAGTAAATGATAGGCTGTGACAGTTTTTATTGTTTTCTTAGTATCAAAAATCTCTCATTCAGAGTAAGCAACTATTATAATCACACAAGAAGCATATTTAACCTAATAATAAGGATTTGTCCTCAACTGAAGTTTCTCCAAACTCACAAATGCCAAAGACCCTTTAGAAAATTTACACTGCTGAAGGATGGGCAGTAGGACTCACCTTTAGGTGGCAGGTGTTAGCATTTGGTCTGGAGAATCCAAAAATCATGTAAAAATTTTGTCGAGTTTTTTTCCAGTATCCATTGTCCCTAAAGGATGGACATGAATGACTGGAAATGTGGAAGGATGAAAGGGAAGACAACTGGAACGAGGCGGCATGGTGGGGCAGCCACGCTTGGCAGGAGTCAGGGGACCTGCCTGTTCTCATCATCCCTCTCCAGCCCCTCACCACCACCACTCACTGAGTGACTTTGGGGTAATTTCCTAGAACTCTACAAAAACAAGGCCAACAACGAAATTATATCACAAATTTGGTATGAAGATTAAGTGATGTATATAAAGCATTTAGTATAGAACACCGGTATACAGTTAAGCCCACAATAAGTTACTATTAGAAAAAAACTAAGAAAATACTGTCCACCCAGACTATTATCATTTTAAAATTACAATCTATGAAAGGTAACATAACTTGTTGTCAAAACCCATGTAATTTTACCTGGAGAGACTTGGTGGATTGGCTACCTGAGGCCACCATTTCTTTTTCCATCCTGTTATAACAGAGCATTCAGCTAATTATCTTTACCTTCGAGCTTTCAGGAAGTGGAAGATTTCTTGGTGGGTGCAGGGTACTCAGTTACTCCTATTTAGCAAAAACAAAAACAAACAAACCTGTAGCACTGGGTGAGCCCATAAGCCATGTGAAACCAGAATGCTCAGAAAAGGAACCTCCTGATTTGTCAAAATCTATTGGGATAAAAGACTTTTTAGAAAAGGAACATCCAATGCTGGCCAAGGGTGTGAAGAGGCCTTTCTGTACATTGCTGATGGAGTTACATATGGATAAAATTTTTCTGGAGAGCAACTTGGCAATGCACATGAAAGGCGCTTTAAAAACTATACATACCCTTTAACTCAGCAATCTGTACTAAAGAGAAAACAAAAGCTCGAGTCCCTACATTTAGCAACAATATATTCCTTGATAAATTATTTATAACTTTAAAACCCTGAAAATCAGAACCTAAAGGAATAAGACTTTATGATACATACATAGGATGGTAGCCATATAGCTATACTAAATGTTACAGAAATAGATTCAGAGATATTAAAATTGTCAATATTTATATCATAACTGAAATAAGATAAACTGTTGTGTTAGTTAAGATCCTCCAGTTAAAAGTAGTAAGAAACCAATTCAAGATAGCTGAGGGAGAAAAAGCGGTAAGATTATGAGGATAATGGGATAAGGGTGAGCAGTAGGGCTCTGTAAAGGAAAAGGAAAGCCACTAGATCTAGATCTTTTCTATGTCATTCATTTTACATCTCCTGTTACGTCGATTTCATTCTTCATTTTCATTGCAGAGCAGCTTTCTTGGTGATTCCTTCCTCATGGCAGAAAATGGCTACCTCTTATGTTCCAATTCTGCAACAGTAGCGTTCTAGACATATCTACATTCAGAATAAAAAACTGATGAGCCAGGAATGAGTCCACTATGGCCAGATGATATCCAGTACCAGTGTGGACTTTAAGAACCCAAAGAAATGTGGCTTTTGAGAACTAGGTAAATATCCCTAAACGATGTACAAGGATGTACGGGGTCATCTCATTTTTAATATTAGGAAGTTTTCTTCCTAGAAAAATTAATAGAAAGATATAAACCAGATTTTAATAGAAGCTATTCATGGATGTAAAACTGTGAGAATTTTAGTTATTTCTTTTGCTTATATTTTCTATAATTTATACTGAAATGTATATTGATTTTATAAATTAGGTTAATTTAAAAAACTAAACTATCAGGCCATTATGACATAAAGCTAAGTGAGGGGAAAGTAAGGTTTTTAAAAATCCATATTGCTTATATATCTTAACTCTACAAAATATATATGCATAGAAAAAGATTAGAAGACAATAAAATATTAGCAGAGGTACCCCAAGATGACAGAATTAAGGATTTATTTTTATTTTCGCATTTATCACTTTCTGAATTTTTAATTGTTCTACAACACATATATATTGCTTTTATACTAGAAAAAAAATGTAAGGGATGCATAGGCCCAGTGGGTTCAGTTTTTGTGCAGGAGACTAGAATACTGTAGACACCAAAGTGATCACCAGATAAAAGACACTGATTTTTGGTGTTTTCTCCCATCCCCAAAATACCTGAATATTACGACAAACTGCCAACAGTAACAACTACTACAACCATGATTTATCTTGAGAATCACTGGCATACAAAATACTAAAGGTTGTGGAGGAATTCTAGAATTACATTTAAGTAAGCACTGAAAATAACTAGAAATTAAAAATAAAACTTGTATGGTATTATTCTACAAACTAGAACTGTTTTAATGTATAGACGATAATATTCAGAGTAATCGTGTATTACTAGGTGGGTGATTAACTATTTTCTGCTCCTATTAGAGAAAAGATTAAATGGCTTTTAGTGTTAGGAGCGTTTCAGCTACACCATCAGCCATGTCA